GTAATTTTTTGATTGCTATTTCTATTTAAAAATATTGTTAGTTTAAAAGGGATTGCATTGAATTTGTAGCTCATTTTGGGCAGCATGAATATCCTCACAATATTAAATCTTACAACCCTTGAACAGGAGCTTGCTTGAAAGTAAGTTTTTTTAATTTCCATATATATGTTAATGTTTTTGCTTTCTTTTATTATTCATTTCTAGTTTTATTTCATTTTGGTCAGAAATAATAGTCATTGAAAGTCTAAAACACTCTGGGAAATGACCACTCTAATAAAACATTACAAAGACATTTGAGAGCACAGTTTCTGCTCTGATGGGCTACAGGGATGAGCTCTGAGATGACACATTGCAGACAAATGCATGGAACAATATAAACCCCTTTCTTGGGAAGCTCTTTCCCATTTTGTGTAAAAACCTTTTCAGTAACAGTGGTGGCTTTCAAGTCTTAGTCTGGCAGTAAGTGAAGCTGCCTGCTACAGAAGATACTTGGAGTGAATAGTTAAAACCACAGAAACTGTAGCAACATGAATAAATATAGCCCACTCTACAGTAAACACAACACAAAGGCCTTCTCTGATATTTCTACAAGTATGTAAACAAAGACTTTACAGCTAACCAAGTTTTCACTGGGACTAGTAAAGGCTAGATTTGTGAGGAGCAGAATTTTGAGTCACTCATGGAAAAGCCCTAAGACAGAGACCAGAGAAATTCTATATTTGGGTCTGGGTTCTGGGCCCATCCTGGTCTTGTCAGGCCCCTATCTGTAGAGACTCCCATGAGCCTGCTGTCACCATAGCTCACTGTGGGCCATGCTTAGGGGTGCAGTCAATCTGCTCCTTGTCTGAGGATATGGGGGAGTTGAACCCATCAAACAGCTGCTCCTTGATTTTAATGCAGCTCTATGAAAAAAGTGCCCAGCAGGCAAATAAAAAAAAAAGTTAATAGTCCGCCCTGTTTTTACCACCAAGTGAAATCCGCATTAGAAATTCTGCTCCTAGATTAGGCATATAGGAGCATCTGCATAGACCCCCAAGCCAGTGGGGAAACCAGAGGACAGCTTAAAGCCTTGGGATTCACATCTGAGTAGACAAACTTAGTCCTCTACATCCAACTTTTTATTCCACCAGCCATGACCTGGGTATGTACAGGACAGACCCACAGGGTTCCAATGCCTGACAACCTGATCCTGTCAGGAAGGGGCCCCTCCTTTTTCTGCTTCCCCTGCAATACATGGTGATAATAGGCAGGGTGGAGTTGCCCAGATGAGATGATAAGGGAGGCCCGGCCTGAATGGACCTGCTCTGGGCTACACTGTTATCTGCGGGTGCCTCTTGACAAATGGCCAGAGGCGTAAGGAAGACGGGCTGAGCCAATTTGTGTGTTACCAGAAAAGGCTCTCACTTTGGGCCTTTCTCAGGCAACAGTTTAGGAATGTAGCATACAATAAGAATGTAGTGCTCTCTTAAGCATCTCCTGTGAAATGAGCTAGATACAGGGCTGTCTTTAGAATGTGGTGTCTGGTTACCAAACTAAATTCTGTCAGGTTCTGTCAGACGGGAGTCTGTTAACTTCTTTAAGATTCTGTCCCCTGGGCCCTTTTCTTCTATAAATCTATGCGAAGGCCCTGCAGGGCTGCTAATGGCTCACCCTCCTCTGACATGTCAACTCTTTACTTGTACACAATTATGCAAACAGAATTATGCCCCTTAATCCCCCAAAAGATCTAAATGCAGCCAGGGTCCCAGGTCTGAAGAAACAGAGTTATGTAAAACCTTTTTATTTTTATTTCTGTGACCATATAAAAGTCATTGTGTGTTTCAGGTCTCCCCAGCTTAAAAGCATGTATAATGGAATTATGCTAACATCAACTTCCAAAAACATTTATTGTGGATATATGAGGTAGAATGAATAAAAATCAATCAGGTGCAGTGGCTCATGACTATAATCTTAACACATCGGGAGGCCAAGGTGAATGGGTAACCTAAGGCCAGGAGTTTGAGACCAGCAGTCACCAACATGGCAAAAATCCATCTCTATTAAAAATGCAAAAATTAGACAGATATGGTGATGCATGCCTGTAATCCCAGCCACTCATGGGGCTGAGGTGTAAGAATCACTTGAACTTAAGAGGCAGAGGTTGCATTGAGCCATGATCATGCCACTGTACTCCAGCCTGGGTTGACAGTGAGACTGTCTCAAAATTTAAAAAAAAAAAGAACATATAAAAATTATGGCCTGTCATCCTATGTAAATAATATAATAATGCACAAACTTACAGATGGAAGCATTACAGAAGAATGATCTAAGGTGGCTGATCACTAACATCTCAAGATTGCAGCTCCCAGTGAAAGCACAGAGAACGAGAGAATGTCACACTTTCAGACAAATTTTTTTTTTGCTCACGGAACAGATGATACCCAGTGGAGGAGCCCCACGAGTCACCAGCACAACTCTTGTGGCTGGTGCAGCAGTTTTGCCAGCACCTCGGCACGGCAGCTCTTGGTGCAGAGTAAACGAAACTGGTTCCCCTTCTGACCGAGGTTTGAAGCTCCAAGAAGACAGAATCGCCTATTACAGACTCAAGAAGGAAGCCAGACTGGAGATTCCTGGGCAGAAAAGCACCATCAGTCTTAACACTGCTGTTTTGGCTGGTGCACTGAGTTGCTCATACTTCGACCCTGGGAATTAACAACTTGGACATCCACTCAGAGACCTAATTTTAAAGTTAGTAATTACAAAGATGACAGCTGGAAAAATTTACAATGATGGGAAGAAACCAGCATAAAAAGGCTGAGAATACTCAAAATCAGAATGCCTCTCCCTCTAAAGAGGATCACAGTTCCTCATCAACAAGGGAACAAGGCTTGATGGAGAACAAGCACATCCCATTAACAGAATCAGGCTTCAGAAGATGGATAATAAGAAACTTCTGTGAGTTAAAAGAACATGTTGTAGCCCAATGTAAAGAAACTAAGAACTTTGAAAAAAGGTTTGATGAAATCCTAATTAGAATAGACAATTTAGAGAGGAATAAAAGTGAATTAATGGAACTGAAGAATACAATATGGGAACTCCAAGAAGTATGCACAGGTTTAAACACTTGAATTGATCAAGCAGAAGAAAGGATATTAGAGGTCGAAGACCAACTTAATGAAATAAAATGAGAAGACAGGATTAGAGAAAAAAGGATAAAAAGGAATGAGCAAAGCCTCCAAGAAATATGGGACTATGTGAAAAGACCTAATTTACATTTGATAGGTGGACCTGAATGTGACGGAGAGAATGAATCCAAGCTGGAAACTATTCTTCAAGATATTATTCAGGAAAATTTTCCTAACCTAGTAAAGCAGGACAATATTCAACCCCAGGTAATACAGAGAACACCACAAAGATATTCCTCAAGAAGAGCAACCCCAAGGCACATAATCATCAGATTCACGAGGGTTGAAGTGAAGAAGAAAATACTAAGGGCAGCCAGAGAGAAAGGTCAGGTTACCCACAAAGGGAAGCCTATCAGACTTACAGCAGATCTCTCAGCAGAAACTCTACAAGCCAGAAGAGAGTGGGGGCCGATATTCAACATCCTTAAAGAACAGAACTTTCAGCCCAGAATTTCATATCCAGCCAAACTAAGCTTCACAACTGAAGGAAAAATAAAATCTTTTATGAACAAGCAAGTACTCAGAGATTTTATTACCACCAGGCCTGCTTTACAAGAGCTTCTGAAAGAAGCATTACACATAGAAAGAAACAACCAGTATTAGCCTTTCTAAAAATATACCAAAAAGTAAAGAACATCAACATAAAGAAGAATTTACATCAACAAATGGATAAAACAGCCAGTTAACATCAAATGGCAGTAATCCCAAATTTAAATCGACTAAATCACCCAATCAAAAGATACAGCCAAAACCCAACGGTATGCTACATCCAGACCCATTTCACATGCAAGGATGCACAAAGACTCAAACCAAAGGGATGGAGAAAGATTTACCAACCAAATGGAGAGCATAAATAAATAAATAAATAAAAAGCAGGAGTTGCAATTCTAACATCTGATAAAATAGATTTTAAAGCAACAAAGATAGAGTGGTAAAAGGCTCAATGCAACAATAAGAGCTAACAATTCAAACACCCAGAAACATAGAGACTTAGACTCCATGAGACAGAAAATTAATAAGGATATCCAGTACTTGAACTCAGATCCGGAACAAGTAAACTTAATAAATATTTATAAAACTCTCCACTTTAAATACACAAAATATACATTCTTGTCAATACCACATCACACCTACTCATAGGTTTAAATAAAATATTGATTGGCCATTATTAATACCCATTTTTTAGAATAAAGCAACATTTTTGTTCTCTCTCCGTCTTTTTCTTCCTCTTTCTTCCTCTCCTTCACTCCTTTTTTTCTTTCCTTTTCAAAAAAAAAGAAAAGAGATGGAAGCATTACAAGGAGTGGTGAGAGGAAGCATGGCCTGCAACTCAAATAGGCCCAGGGTCCAGCCAGGTGATCTTGGGAAAGGCACTTACCCACTGGCCTTTTTCTTTCATTCTACACCAGAAAGAGGTTGAAATTTAAAAAAATCAGATACTGTCTTCTGTCATTAAATCTCCCAGTGCCTGTCCATTATATTTAGAATCATATCTATATGCCTCATCTCAGCCTATGTGATGCGCAGCTTCCACAACATCTCACAACAACAATAAGTTGTGAGTGATCCGGTTTGTTACTTTAAAAAAGTGGCTCACTATTCAGTGCCTCAGCAGCCAGTACTGTAACACTAGCTTTTTTAGCAAATAGATATAATTTTCTTTCTTTTCAAAGAAAATTACTACTTAAAGTCAGGGAAGCAGACTTGAGCTGGAATCCTATCTCTTTGTTGAAAAGCTCACTATATATATATATATATATTTCCCTGAGTTTAAGGTAGTAATTTTCTTAGAAAAGTTCGCTGTCCGAGTGGTGCCTCCTCATCACTGCCACCGCCATGCCTGGAGGTCTGCTTCTCAGGGCGTGGCTCCTAACTTTAAGGCCAATACCACCATCTGCCCCATCCATTTCCACAACTTTCTGGGAGACTCATGGGGCATTCTCTTCTCCCACCCTCGGGACTTTACCCCAGTGTGCACCACAGAGCTTGGCAGAGCTGCAAAGTTGTCACCAGAATTTGCCAAGAGGAATGTTAAGTTGATTGCCCTTTCAATAGACAGCGTCGAAGACTATCTTGCCTGGAGCAAGATGGTGAAGAGCCCACAGAAAAATTACCTTTTCCTATCATTGATGATAAGAATTGGGACCCTGCCATCCTGTTGGGCATACTGGATTCAGCAGAGAAGAATGAAAAAGCCATGCCTGTGACAGCTCATGTGGTGTTTGGTTTTGGTCCTAATAAGACGCTGAAGCTGTCCATTCTCTACCCAGCTACCACTGGCAGGAACTTTGATGAGATTCTCAGGGTAGTCATCTCTCTCCAGCTGACAGCAGAAAAAAGAGTTGCCACCTCAGTTGATTGGAAGGATGGGGATAGTGTGATGGTCCTTCAAACCATCCCTGAAGAAGAAGCCAAAAAACTTTACCCAAAAGGAGTCTTCACCAAAGAGCTCCCATCTGGCAAGAAATACCTCCGCTACACACCCCAGCCTTAAGACTCTTGGAGAAGTTGGTGCTGTGAGCCAGAGGATGTCAGCTGCTGGTCATGTTTTCCTGCAGTACTTCCATAAAAACATCCTGGTGTCATCACAGCCAGGTTGCTATTCTATTGGCTTATTAAATGAAAATGGCACTAAAAGTTTCTTGGGATTCTTTACTCTCTGCCTTCACCAGCACTAAATTCTGTTCATACATCAGCTCTCTCTCTTGGTTATCTTTGAAATACGCTCTATATTTAAAACTCAAATCTTGTTGGATCTCTGTAGGGCTTGTGATCAATGAGGTCATATTGGTTGATGGTTGAGAAAGCTTGCTTCACTCAATCAGAGAATGACTGCCAATTTTTTTAACTGTCCCTGTCACATCCTCTCATTTGTTACCCATTTTGAAGAGCAGTAGAAATTGAGTTTCAAATTCCTCTGTAAACATCCAAGTATATATCCCAGATACTCTTTAGTATTCTGTGTTTTTATCACAGCTGGGTGAAAAAAGCTTTTTAATTCTGTACCTTTCCAGCAGATAACTTAAGAGCAGGGGAAGAGACTTTTAAATATTTTCCTCTTGAAGAAATAGTGATCAGTTTCTATCAAAATAAGGAGACTGCAGAAAAGCCTTCCCTTGGCTTCCAAGGAGGTGTAGCAGGTGTGAACAATATTAGTGCCATGTGCCTTTCACACAGGGTTTGCATTTATGAGTCTGCTTTCTGATTATGTGCATGTGAAAGAGTACACCATGTGAAGAGAAGAGAGACTGACTGAAAATGTTTTATTATAGAATTCTTCTTGCAGTGAGTTGCTATTTTCTGGATTTTACTTTTTAGGCAACAAATAAAATCCTTTGTTAAAACTGGAAAAAAAGAAAATGTTTAGAAGGTAAGCTTTAGATTAGTAGAAATTTGCTGAAAGAAAAAATGTGTGGAAAGTCATTGGGTATGAACAGCCATCTTTTCTTGGTTACTCACAGGTCACACATGCGAATTTGGGGAGAGTTAGTATAAAACATGTGATGGAAATTTGGGCTCTGACATCAGTGAGCTCATTTCACACAGACTCTAGATGGCCATATTGGTTCCAACTGATTTTAGCCAGTTTTAAAAAATCTCATAAGTGGAATAAATTTCAGTCCTTCAACAATTTGTTTCTTTTCTTTTCTGTCATTCTGCAAACTAAAGAGTTTCTGCTAGTCATTAGTTGAACTCTTTGGGGGCATGGTTCTAGCTTCTGTCATAGATAAAACAGCAAAAATGATAGGGTATCACTTCTGTCTTAGTTTAGATGTCTATACCAAAAGCATAGACCAGGCAGCTTATAAACAAAAGACTAGTTCTGAAGGCTAGAAATTTGAGATTGGGTTCCAGCATGGTTGGGCTCTTGGAAGAACTCTTCTGAGTTTCAAACTCCAGAATTTAGGTTGTATTCTCATTTAGCAAAAGAGAGGGAGAGATGCCTTTCTGTGGTTTCTTTTATAAAGCAAATAGTCTCAATTATGAGGGCCTCATTCTCAGGACTTAATTGCTTCTCACCTCCCAAGGCCATTACACTGGGGATTAAGGTGAATATGGGGGGGAAATCACATAGTCTATTGCAACTTTCAGGGTTATGTTTTTTAAAAAGATATTTTTTCTCTTACTTGCTCTGTTTGCTTACTCTTTCAATCTCTCTGTCTCCCTTTCTTTCTTTTTCTGTACATATGTCTGCTGTCTCTTTCATTCTCCATCTCTCTATTGTATTACTCAAACTGAGGAAGCAATCATCAGTGACCTAATATGGTCCATATACAGACCCGTAAACAGAGAACTGGGGAGATGCTCAGGCCAATAGAGAGAAAGGCACTCAGGCTTTCAGTTCACATTGAACCATGCCAATTTCCATGAGTCAGATTGGAGGCTGATCTTCTCCAAGTCCATCTTCAGTTGAGATCACAGCCCCAGCCTCACAAGAGACCTCAAAGCAGTGGCATCAAACTAAGCTATGTCCAGATTCTGGTTCACAACAATTGTGAAATAATATTTCTGGTTAAAAGGTGCTAAAATTCAGGGCGATGTTGTCAGAGAGGAGCAAATGACTAACCTCCTCTTTCAGACCCCAAGATCCTCCATCCCTCTGCTCCACTGAAGAATGGGCTGCCTTCAGCCACACTGGTCCCTTTTTTAACTGCCTTTGCTGAACTCACCTGTACCTGTGAGGCTCTTCACAGAGTGGCTTCTCCTTGACACACTTTCCACACCAGTGCAAGGCTGGCTCTCTGATGTTATTCTGTTCACAACATAATGTCACTTCAGTGAGGCATTCAGGTCCCCTCCATGGAATGTCTCCCCAGCCCTCCCTCCCAACTGTCTACTTTATTTATATTATAGGATGCTTATTTCTTTCACATATACTTGCTCTAGTGGTTTTGTCCAGCAGTCCTCAGCCTGTGGGCAGCCCCTGGGAAGGTTGGGATAACGTAATCATTTCAGTACCACATTTTGAGCCTACCAAAGTTACTGCCACAGTGTGAGTGTTAGAGGAAGAGTTGCTGAGTAAAGTAAAATGAAAAATTACAAAGCCCTTCTTCCTGCCTTTGGCCACCCGATAAAGTGGAGATCATGTATAATAACAGGAGGTCCAGGACCTCAGCATGACTCAGTGGGCACAAGAAACAGGAGAGTCTGATGCCATCTAGAGGCCATCACTAGCACTGTAGCTTCAGATAGAAGCATCTTTTTTATTCCTTATTTTTTTATTGCAGTTTAGGTTTTGGGGTACATGTGCAGAGCATGCAATACAGTTGCATAGGTACACACATGGCAGTGTGTTCTGTTTGCTTTCACCCCTTCACCCACATTTGGCGTTTCTCCCCAGGCTATCGCTCCCCATCTCCCCCTCCCACTGGCCCTCCCCTTTTCCCCCCAATAGACAACAGTGTTTAGTACTCCCCTTTCTGTGTCCATGTGTTCTCATTTTTCATCACCCGCCTATGAGTGAGAATATGCGGTGTTTCATTTTCTGTTCTTGTGTCAGTTTGCTGAGAATGATGTTCTCCAGATTCATCCATGTCCCTACAAATGACACAAACTCATCATTTCTGATTGCTGCATAATATTCCATAATGTATATGTGCCATATTTTCCCAATCCATTCTATCATCAGTGGGCATTTGGGTTGGTTCCAGGTCTTTGCTATTGTAAACAGTGCTGCAATGAACATTCGTGTGCATGTGTCCTTATAGTAGAATGATTTATAGTCCTTTGGGTATATACCCAGTAATGGGATTGCTGGGTCAAATGGAATTTCTATTTCTAAGGCCTCGAGGAATCGCCACACTGTCTTCCACAATGGTTGAACTAATTTACACTCCCACAACAGTGTAAAAGTGTTCCATTTTCTCCACATCCTCTCCAGCATCTGTTGTCTCCAGATTTTTTAATGATCGCCATTCTAACTGGCGTGAGATGGTATCTCAATGTGGTTTTGATTTGCATCTCTCTGATGACCAGTGATGATGAGCATTTTTTTCATATGACTGTTGGCCTCATATATGTATTCTTTCATAAAGTATCGGTTGATATCCTTTGCCCACTTTTGAATGGGCTTGTTTGATTTTTTCTTGTAAATCTGTTTGAGTTCTTTGTAAATTCTGGATATCAGCCCTTTGTCAGATGGGTAGACTGTGAAAATTTTTTCCCATTCTGTTGGTTGCCGATTTACTCTAGTGACTGTTTCTTTTGCCGTGCAGAAGATGTGGAGTTTCATTAGGTACCATTTGTCAATTTTGGCTTTTGTTGCCAATGCTTTTGGTGTTTTGTTCATGAAGTCCTTGCCTACTCCTATGTCCTGGATAGTTTTGCCTAGATTTCTTGCAAGGGTTTTTATGGTGCCAGGTCTTATGTTTAAGTCTTTAATCCATCTGGAGTTAATTTTAGTGTAAGGTGTCAGGAAGGGGTCCAGTTTCTGCTTTCTGCACATGGCTAGCCAGTTTTCCCAAAACCATTTGTTAAATAGGGAATCCTTTCCCCATTGCTTGTTTTTGTCAGGTTTATCAAAGATTGTATAGTTGTAGATAAGTTGTGTTGCCTCCGATGCCTCTGTTCTGTTCCATTGGTCTATATCTCTGTTTTGGTACCAGTACCATGCTGTTTTGATTACTGTAGCCTTGTAGTATAGTTTGAAATCCGGTAGTGTGATGCCCCCCGCTGTGTTCTTTTTGCTTAGAATTGACTTGGCTATGCGGGCTCTCTTTTGGTTCCATATGAAGTTCATGGTGGTTTTTTCCAGTTCTGTGAAGAAAGTCAATGGTAGCTTGATGGGGATCGCATTGATCCTGTAAATTACTTTGGGCAGTATAGCCATTTTCACGATATTAATTCTTCCTAACCATGAACATGGAATGTTTCTCCATCTGTTTGTGTCCTCTCTGATTTCGTTGAGCAGTGGCTTGTAGTTCTCCTTGAAGAGGTCCCTTACATTGCTTGTGAGTTGTATTCCAAGGTATATTATTCTATTTGTAGCAATTGTGAATGGCAGTTCGTTCTAGATTTGACTTTAAGTCTGTTGTTGGTGTAGACGAATGCTTGTGATTTTTGCACATTGATTTTATATCCTGAGACTTTGCTGAAGTTGCTTATCAGTTTCAGGAGTTTTTGGGCTGAGGTGATGGGGTCTTCTAGGTATACTATCATGTCGTCTGCAAATAGAGACAATTGGGCTTCCACCTTTCCTATTTGAATACCCTTTATTTCTTTTTCTTGCCTGATTGCTCTGGCTAGAACTTCCAGTACTATATTGAATAGGAGTGGTGAGAGAGGGCATCCTTGTCTAGTGCCAGATTTCAAAGGGAATGCTTCCAGTTTTTGCCCATTCAGTATGATATTGACTGTTGATTTGTCATAAATAGCTTTTATTACTTTGAGATACATTCCGTCGATACCGAGTTTATTCAGGGTTTTTAGCATAAAGGGCTGTTGTATTTTGTCAAATGCCTTCTCTGCGTCAATTGAGATAATCATGTGGTTTTTGTTTTTGATTCTGTTTATGTGGTGAATTACGTTGATCGACTTGCGTATGTTGAACCAGCCTTGCATCCCCGGGATGAATCCTACTTGATCATGATGAATAAGTTTTTTGATTTGCTGTTGCAATCGGCTTGCCAATATTTTATTGAAGATTTTTGCATCTATGTTCATCATGGATATTGGCCGGGAGTTTTCTTTACTTGTTGGGTCTCTGCCGGGTTTTGGTATCAGGATGATGTTGGTCTCATAAAATGATTTGGGAAGGATTCCCTCTTTTTGGATTATTTTGAATAGTTTTAGAAGGAATGGTACCAGCACCTCTTTGTGTGTCTGGTAGAATTTGGCTGTGAACCCGTCTGGACCTGGGCTTTTTTTGTGTGGTAGGCTCTTAATTGCTGCCTCGACTTCTGACCTTGTTATTGCTCTATTCATAGTTTCAGCTTCCTC